CCCCAACGGAAGACCTGAGCGTCTGGAGTGCAGAGCAAGAATGCAGCCATGATGGAAAAATATACCGGATCTTTGACTCCCCTCTCTGCGGTCCGTTTCTCACGACTGTAAAGGTGAAGCGGGATAAAAAAAATGGGACGACCAGTGGTGCTGAAGGCAACAGATCCAATCAGACATTGGACCCGTTATTGAATATCGCTGAGGAGCCTAAAAAAAGAGACGATATTCCCCCAGCCAGCCGAGTACGTGTGGGTGGGGCATCGCAACCGCACGCCACACGACCGCCACCCGAGTATGAGGAAGCTGTCAACTCCATGATGCCGTCGCCATTTTTACCCTCGGGACCATCGACAATCTGTCCTGTAAGCCTGCCTGCCACTGTGCTGCCCCATGGAAACGTTTCTATTACGGCCCCACAAAATTCCTCTGTTATGATGCTTCCACAGTCGCTTAATCCTGCCTCAAGCTCCTTTTCTCTTCCCGCAAGCTCAGCGTCTGTAGGTCCAACTTTTATTCCTCTTTATTCAGAGGCACCCAAACCGGCGTCTCTTCCAATGCAATCATTTGGAATACCGTATGTTGTTCTCGCCCCGTCAGGCCCTGCAGTACCGCAGCAGAATATCGTACCCCTGAACTCAGGTGCCAGTACCACAACTACTACCACAACCCCCAACTTGACCACCATGGAAAGCAGCAAAAATGATGGTGTCAGTGGAAATGCTGGAAATATTACCACCGAAAACGGAGCTACATCGACGCTTTTTTCACCCATTCCTTCAACTCCTTTTGTCCCGACTGGGGCAACTTTCACCGGTGTTCTTAACGGACCAATGGGGTTACAGTCACGATCCGTGCAGCCAATAGGGAATTATGTTCTGCTGCCGGATGGGAACATTGGGGTATTGAATTCCGTACCCGTGACACCAATTAATTACTGGAACACTTGAAGAACAGGAACTGAGGAGAGACGTGTTTCTCTTCCTTCGGCACTCCATTCCTTTTTTCTTTCTTTCTTTTCTTCTTTTTTTCTTTTTTTTTTGCTTTTTTTTTTTTTTTTTTTTTTTTTTGCTTGTGATTTTTGCTCTTCCTTTTTTTTTTTTTTTTTTTTTTTCTTGCCCTTTCCGTTTTGCTTTTTTGTTGTTTTTGTTGTTGTTTGGGGGGGGGTGTTCCTTTTCTTTTTTGCTGATGGTTTTTTTTTTGTTTTTTTGTTTTATCATCCTGCTGTAGTTTTGTTTCCTTTTGTTTCTTGACTTTTGTGTCGGTGCATGTATCATCTGTCTGTCTGTGTGTGTGTGTGTCTTTTGTTGTTCCTGGTGAATACCCGCCTGCCTGCCTGGCTGCCTGTCTGGCTGGCTGTCTGGCTGGCTGGCTGTTCGTCAGCCGTTCTGGTCGTCTGGCAGGCCGGATTCTTCTTTTTTTAATTAATTGGGGTGGTGGTGGTGGTCGCCTCGGAGAAGAAATTTGGATATTAAAAAAAAAAAAAAAGAAGGAATAAAAGAACGAAAAAAAAAAAAAGGAGGTGATGGGAGGAGTAGAAAGAGGGAGAAGGGAGGAACAAAAGAGAACTTTTTTAAAAAAGGCAAAAAAAGAGAAAAAAAAAAAACATTTTTATATATTTATATTTATATATAAATTCTTCCTTAAAACACACAAAAAAAAAAAGAAAAAAAAAATTATTTTCCGCATGCGTTTTTGTTTGTATTCATTTATGTTTTTGTTTGGGTTGTTTGAGGGTGTGGGTGTGGCGCAACATTACTCTCCTCCCTCTCCTCCCCTCTCCTCCCCTCTCCTCCCCTCTCCCTTTCTGTATGATCCAAAGGAAAACGAAGCAAGAAGAATAAAACGAAAGAAAAAAAAAAAAATGTCTTTTTCTTCCTTCCTTCTTTTTTTTTTTTTTTTTTTCGTTTTTCCCCTTTGCCTATTACCTTTACATGTGTATATGCATATACGTATATATATATATATATATATATGTATGTATGTATGTACTTATATATGATCTAAAGAAGTAAGTGCAAATAAAGAAACATACAAACAAACACGCACAAGAAGAAGAAGAAGAAGAAAAAGAAAGAAAAAAAAGAAAAATGGTATGAGGATGAGTCATGTAATCACAAGGCCATTGTGTTGTTTTACCCACTAAAAACGCCACTTATTCGCATGATTTGGGTTGTATGTATACATTATACATACGTACATACATATTTATCTTTTTGTTTGTTTGTTTGTTTGTTTGTTTCCCCGCTCCCTCTTCCTCCCTCCTTTTCTCTCTCTCTCTCTCTCTCTCTCTCCGGATGACGTTGTAAATAATAGGCAAAAGGGAGTTGGAAAGAAGAAGAAGAAAAAAGAAAAAAAAAAAAACGGCCTTCCTCCCCCTCCTAATCTCAATCACATCACCATGTCTCAAGCAAGTCATGTGTGTGTATGTGTTTGTGGTTTTGCTTGGGTGGTTCTTTGTGTGTGTTTGTGCCGAAGGGTAAAGAGATGGACGGAGTAAATGCAACATGTTCTTTTTTTTTTCTTTATTATTATTTTGTTTTTTTTGTTTTTTGTTTTTTTTTTTTTTTTATTATTGTCACTTACACTGCTTTTTGCTGCTTTTTGTTACATAAATATATACATATATACATACATATATATATACTGGTTTAGAAAATCGTGGAAAACGGAATATACATGACATGACATGACGTTTACATACATATGTATATTTATATATATTTATATATATAATGCCACCAGATGAGGATAAATAAATGAGGAAGCGAGGAAGAAAGGAAGAAGAGGAGAAAACCCCCCTTTTGTTTATTTATATATTTATATATTGTGGATTTTGTTTTTGGGTAACTTTTGTTTTTGGGTAACTTTTGTTTGGTTTGCCGTTGTTTGTTGTTGTTCTCTTTTTTTTGTAAAACGGCGTTTTGGAAAGGGGCAGCGCAGGTGCAAATTTGTTTTTTTTTTTTGTTTGTTTGTTTGTTTGTTTTTGTTTTTTGTTTTTTTATTCCACCCGCCCCGCTGCGGCCGCCACTCCGCGCGAGTGGGAAGAGTCCCGGTGGTTGTGGGGGGAGAACGAGGAGAAGGATAAGAAGGAGGAGTCATTAAAAAAAAAAAAAAAAAAAAAAAAAAGAAAAGAAAAGAAAAAAGGAAGAGGTGGCTGCCCATCTTTGAGTTTTACAGCGAGTCCTGTCATCATTGAATTAATGTGCGGATTTTTATTTGTGGATGCATTTGAGCGTTTGGATGCATTTTCCCGCCGCCCACACCCACTCACTCACGTACGCAGGGGTGTTTGTGTGTTTGGTCGGTGTTGGGGGAGGGAGAAGGAGACGAGGGGAAAAAAGAAAAAAGAAAAAAGAAGAAGAGGGAGCGGAGCGGAGCGGAGGGGCCGACGGGCGGTTCACCGAAGATAGCGAGCGACAAAAGAGAGAAAATGATAGAAACGAAAAAAAAAAGGAAAAAAGAAGAAGGGAAAAGAAGGAACCCGCGCCATGTGTTCTCTACGTGTTGAAGAGGGAGAAGGGGAGGGCAGGTGCCATGCACATGAAATGTGTGCGGCCGTCAGTGGCCCACCTGCCTTCCTTCACCCCCCGTCTCTGACCGTTGTTGTTGCTGTTGTTGTTGTTTGTTTGTTTGCACCACCTCCTCCTCCTCCTCCTCCCACTCCTCCCTTCCTCTCTTTTTTTTTTCCTTTTCTTTTCTTTTTTTTCCTTTTTTTTTTTTTTTTTTCCTTCATTTCTTCCCTTTCCAGTTAATTCCTTTCTTCTGACGCATCTGACATTCCTTTTGTTTTTGTTGTTGTGTTTGTGATTCGGATGGGGCTGGTGTATGCCCGCCTGATCCCACACACTCAGACACACACACACACACACACAAATACGCCTGCGAGGGATCACACACCCTCCCTCTCCCTCTCTCTCTCTATCCCTTCTCTCTCTGTGTGCTTGTGTGCTTGTGTGCTGTACGCCTCCTCACTTCATGTTGTTGTTGTTTTGTCATTTTTGTTCTTTGGACGCATAGTAGGAGGTGGGTGGAGGGTAGGAGGGAAAAGGTGCAACCGAGTGTTTTCTCCGCATGTCAATGCCGCCGCGTTTCCCATTTTTTGTGGATGGAGAGGGGGGGGGGAGGGGTGAAATGGGCGCCCGTTGAGAAGAGAAACAAAAAATAATAATAATAAAAAAGAAGAAAAAAAGAAAAATAAAAAAATGAATGGAGGGCGATGAAAAAAAAGGAGGAGAAGGAGAAGGAGGAGGAGGAGTAGGAGGGAAAAGAAGGGCAATTGCGTGAGGAAAACCGTTAAAAACCATCCAAGAAATGTATATCCATATGTATTGTATTGTACGCCAAAGAAGCCCGTGAAAAAAAAAAAAAAAAAAGGAGGCATAAAAAAAAAAAACACGGTTTTTTTTCTTTTCGTTTTTGTTTTTGTAGAGCCGTTCCTGCATAATAAATGAAGACTACATCGACACCACTAACCCAAATAAGGGAGCACGAGGGGTCCAATCCTTTAGGACGCATTTCCTTTTCTCATCCCCCTTTTTATTTGTTGTTTTGTTTTTGGATGGATGGAGACATCTTTTTTTTTTTTCTTTTTTTTTTTTTTTAAAGTAAAAAATGATGGAATTTATGGACTTAATGTGCTGAAACCAGGGCGATTGAGAGGTTTTGCGTCAATGTGCCTCCTTACAATAAATAAATAAATAAAAAAGCGTGTGTGTGTGCGTGTGTGTGTGGGAGAAAAAAAAAAAAGAGAGAGCGAGAGAGAGCGATCATGTCACTATGCATGTTTCTACAGAAGGAAAGAGAAAACAACAACAACAACAAAAACAACAAAACAGTGACTGACACATAAACTCAAAATTTTTATACTCAATTAAATGTATTTCGTGCAATCCATGCATCTGCTTTTGGTGTGACTTGCGTATTTTCATTTTTTTTGTTTGTTGTTTCCCTCTTCTGCAAGAGGGGAGGAAAGGGGAGTGCAAATGAAAACCCAAAAAAAAAAAAAAAAAAAGAAATATATAAATATATATATGCCTGCTCCCTACTCCCTACTCCCCCCACCACATACACACACACACACACGAATTGCTTCCATGTAACCATTTCCTCTCTTTCATGCTCAATGGCGCCTTCAATGGTGATTTATTCATGCCATACACACACACACGTATACATATATATATATATATATATATATATATATGTATATATGTATATGTATGGCTTTCTTTACTTCTTTCTTTTTGTTTGTAGACGTTTATGTACGGGGCTTTCTTTTTTTTGTTTGTTTTTCCGTGTTGTCTACTGAATTTCTTGTATAAAGATATATTCTTGTTTGTTTGTGCTTGTGTTCTTTTCTTTTTTTTTTTTTTTTTTCTTTTCTTTTCTTTTCTTTCCAGTGGCTGTTAAATTTTTGTATGGGAGAGACGTTTGCACCCAAACGCAGCCTGTCCAAAGTACTTTTTATTTAAAAATGGTGGCCGTGTTTTTGTTCCTTTTTTTTTTTTTTTTTTTTTTTTTTCTTGAAAAGGCAGGCGGGCAGGAGGGTCTTTTAATTTTATTTTTTCTTTTTGTGTGTGTTTTTTGCCTCCATGACTTCTCATGTCCCCGTGTGTGTGTGTGTGTTTCTTTTATTATTTTTATTACTGTTTTGCCTTCTTTATTTCTTTCTTTCTTTCTTATTTGTGTTTGTGTTTGTCCCAATGAAGGAAGGAAAGGGAAAAAAAAAAATAAAAACAGAACAGAACAAAACAAAAAGGGAATTAAAGAAAGAAAGAAAGGGAGAGTGGGAACAAAACAGAAGGGAAAGAAAGAAAAAAAAAAAAAAAAAGAGGGGTGGGGGAAGAGAAATTTTTTAAAAAAAAACAACACACACACACACACAGACAGACAGAAGGAGAGAAGTTCTGCTCTGCCCTGCGTCTGTGTTGTGTGTGTTGACATCCGAGAGCAGTACGACCGGCCCACTCCCTGCATACATAACACATACGTCTGCACATATTACATATATATATATATATATATATATTCATCTATACGGCTTGCTCTGTCCGCGACTGTGCCTGAGGTGGTGCGTGAGCGACGACGGAAAACAACAAAATAATAAAAACAAAAGCAAAGAAAAGAAAAAAGAAAACAGGAGGAAGAAATATATATATATAAGGGAAAGAAGGGAAAGAAAAGACAGGAAGGAAGGAAGGAAGGAAGGAGAGTGCGAGTGAGACAGACAGACAGAGGCAGAGAGAGAGAGAGAGAGAGAGGGAAGGAGGACAAGCCGACTGGACCAGCAGCGGTGTCGTCGCCGGGCCTACTCGGGATTTATTTAACAGAAGAGGAAAAAAAGGGAAAAACACCCACATCCACCAGATAGGGGGGGAGGAACACGAAAGAAGAGAGTTAACCATACACGCACACACGGGAAAACAAAACCAAAACCCAAAGGAAAGATTTTTAAAAAAAGAAGCTCAAAAAATATATAAAAATCAAAACACACACACACAAGATCGCGGTATCTGTCAACAACAACATTAAAGGAGAAGGAAAATAACAAGAAGAGAAGGAAAGAAAGAAAAAAAAAACAAAAGGGGGAGGCGGACGCGCAACTGAGCGAGTCCGTGAGGAAAGTACAGAGAAGTGTTGGTGGTGGACTTACATCACTGAGCATCGACTGGCGTGTGTGGCGTTTGTGTGTGGTACCGAGAAGAACCGAGGAAAGGAGACACAAAAGGAAGGAACAGAGGCGGCAAAAGAGCACGTGTGGAGCATCCGTCAAGCAGTTTGCGATTTCCAAAAGAACAAAAGAGGGGAGAGAGAGAGAGAGAGAGTGGGGACAAACAAACAAAGGAAGGGAAAGGAAACCAGATTGTGTGGGTGTGAGTGTGAGTGTACGTCTTTCTGTGGAGGAAGGTAAGGCCAAGTAAAAGAATACAGACAATCGCAATCGGTTGGGAAGAGAGAAGAAAAGAGAGAGAGAGAGAGAGGGGAGCGCTTATCAAAAAAAAATAAAAAATAATAAAAGGGAAAAATGGGAGCTGCACCGTCTCGTGAGTCGACGACGCTTTACTCGTACTTTAGAGGGACATATGAGATTGGTCTGATCCCCCTGACAAAGGCCTTCTTTGGTCTTCCAGGGGATGCCCACAGTCACATCACAAACAAAACGGAAGAAGGAGAGGAAGAAGAAGACGTGGGGATTGGCCTTCGCTGCAAGCAGGAGCCTCATGTCTCTCAGACAACATCGACAGCGGCTCATCTCAGCAGTACAATGGAGCTACGGCGACAATTTGTCATTATGCGTAGCGATCCGGCCATTTTATACGCCAACGCACGTGGGAAAGTCTCTGCATCGTGGCCAGAACTTCTTTCGGATGCCTTTACTGAGGAAGATCTGGACGCCTTCCTGGATAAGGTTGAGGAACGGATATACAACACTGATGCGGAGATGTTTGCCGACACTAAAAGTGCTCTCATCCCTCTCCCATGTGCCCTTTGCCTCGTTTGTAAGGATGGACAGGAACGGTCTGGGAGTTTCTTTTGGCGTGGACGTAGCATTGTTGTCATTGGGTACTTTGCCTGCCTTCCAGAGGACCTCCGCAGCGCGTTTAAGGTGGCAAAAGGAAACCCGCCAGAGGGAAAAAAAGGAACAACGGGCACCGACAATGACGCCAAGCACACTCTTTCTTCCACCTCCCAAGTATCACTCTTCTTAAATGCCGGTGTGCTTGCCTCTGCTGGTGACCGCACACTTGAACGTGTCCTTCTCCTGGCTGCAGTCATGTTGCGAAATCAGTATCTGGACTCCTTTTTTCATGTCTTTGCTCCAACACCGTTTCCCTCTTCCTATACCGGGGACGTATTTCAGAATATTTTCAACACTGAATTTGATGCACCTCCATTCTTTCCACACGATGGAATGTTCCTTGACACTGCAGCTCGCGGTAAGAATGCTACTGCGCAACAGACCAGAGAAGAAGCCTTAAAGACTCTGGAACGTCGACTACAAAACATTACTGTGTACGTGGAGACGGCTGTGGATAATTATTCCTCGCTAAAGTCTTTGACGGAGAATGCTGCCTTCTTGCAATGCCAAACGAATTTGAGACCAGGCTTATGTTTTATGGACTTGCCACAAGTTGTGCTTGATGGATTTGAGTCCGCGGGAATAACTGAAGAAAATACTGAAAAAACCGCCGATGGAGAACAGGAAGAGGCAAAATTACATTCTGCCCGAGCGTCGCTCGATGATACAACCACGGCGGTGGAAAACACGAAACAAGATGGGGAAACGAGTAAAGTTGGGATCCATCAGGAGACATTGGAAAAAGCAAAATTTCCGGAAACGGATGAGAAGGCATCAACAAAAAATTCTGCATCTGTAGAGCTGGTTCGGGTTTGTTTTACGCCGGAGTATGTGGTGAAGGCCACCATGTGGGCATCCGGTCTTCTTAGTTCACCCACCGAAACTGTTGGTGGAAGCTGGGTACAGTACAAGCTGAAAAATGAAAGTGATGAACTTCGACAG